TATTAGTATTTGCTTGAAAACTTTTAATTTATTAACTCAAAATATTGAGCATTTATAAAGATACAAAACTTCATGAGGTAAGCTGTCATACAACAAACCAAAAATTTATATTCAAGTGAACAAACAAGAAATCAAAAAATCTGTCTAATGACCACTTCCTCCCCTGCTGCCAACTTCCTGTACAGTTCTTTCAGGTCTTCTGGTTGTGGAACTTTGGAACCTGGTGTTGGTGGAAGCTCAAAATCTGATGATACCTGTGAGTCTGATTTCGGCTCCACGGCTTCTTCCTTCTTAGGTTCGACGTTATGGCTGCTCACCACCTCACCATTGGTCCCTCGGTTACACTGCTCACTAGTAATGGCCTTACTTTCATCCACTTGGACGAGAACAGCGTTTATTTGACTGAGGCCCTCTGTCCCTGCATCCGATATATGAGTGGACTGCGAGGAAGTCAAGTGAACGGAGCTGCTGTCATCCTCATCTTCATCCTGAAACGGCTCGGGTGACTGGGACGCTGTGCTTTCGGTGGAGAGCGTTTGAGTGTTGTGGCTGTTCTGACTGTTATCCAGTTCGCTCTCATCCGTCAACACTGGTTCCACCTTGAAGAACCTTTCCCAACAAGGCAGAGCTGTTTTGGATTGGGACGAGTCCGACTGAGTCAGTTTTGAGCATGGCATTTCTGTGCAAGGTGGTGCGACACCGAATGGTTGAGGTATAGGAGGTTGTTCGGCATCATCATCATCGTCATCATTTGATTCTGTGCAGTCCATGTAATTGGATGAGTGTGTGGCGGGACAGAGCTCTATAAGGGAAAATGTTTGGTCCGTATCATGGGAATCTTTTTTAGGGCTATGAGGCTGTTCACTAATGGCAACCTTGGTCAGATCAGTCACTGTCATTTTACACCGCCTTGGAGCCATGGAAACCTCGTCAAACAGGTCATTATCACTGTCTGAGCCTTTGTAGAAAAGTATATAGGTTTATAAGAGATAATAACAATTTAATAAATAGTTTTAATAATGAAAACTACTCATACCTTCCGATGTGCACCTCTTTCTGGTTCTTTTGAGGGCTCCAAGCGGTTTGTAGACAATCTCCTCCCTTCCAGACCGTTTTCTACACAAGGGCTTTAACCTGAATTTGAAAAGATAATTTTATAGTAAGCAACAAGTCTTATGACAACATGGAACAAGAAAAAAAAAGTTTGTCCTTAC